AGAGAGAGAGAGAGAGAGAGAGAGAGAGCGAAAGATGGAGGGAGACAGATACAGCATTCACCAAAACAAACCCAGACCAAACAATAATCGACGTCGGATGGGCGGACGGTTGGCCATGCAGGCAGGAGTCGATAACAACACAACAGGCCTAGAAGGAGGAACTGGAGAACTCCATCAGTGACAAAATTCGCTCCAGCACGACCTTTCAAGTCTCAAGCGATAGCTATTCATAAGTATGCCGCATGTCGGGTGACCCGCGCTGTCTCGGATTTGGTGGGTACAGCTAGGATAAATCAAGCTGGAAAGCTGCCATCGATCTCTGCAAAACCCTCCACCAGTTCCGATGAAGCTTCGAAAAAGCTACAAAACACGGAATAGTGCTGATGGCTTTATTCGAAAGGAGCATACGCAACAGCGTCCACCACCGTCGTCCATATTTTGCACTCCCTCGTGAACCTCACTGCGTGAAGTGAAACCCCGGACAGTTTCAGAAGCTGTATGCATCGCAGTGACGGAAACGGCATCGACAATGCCGTAATCACAAAAGCAATAGAAGCAAAGCAGCAGCAGCAGCAGCAGCAGCAGCACAAGCAGCCACAAGGCACCTGCAAAGACCGAGGAGACTCTCAGAGGCGGCGCGCCCTCCCCCCTGACGACCACTAGAGTGGCGAAGGTGACAAGGCAGACGAGCGTTGGCGTCGTCGCCCAGAAAAAGACGCACCACGCGTCCACGTACTTGAGGGTTGTAAGCGCCGACACCTGGCGTTGTTGCAAGCGCGGGTGGCGGAAGGGGAGAGGGCGGGGGGTTGGAACGCTACGCGAGTTCGTGTTAGCTGCCGTTTCTATCGAAACAGTTGTTGAAACAGTTGATTTGTTGGACCGAACCCGCTGAAACCCTACCCCTAACACCAACCCGAATACTTCACCCCCTCACCCGGGCTGCAGGAAAAGCAGCCTTCGGGCTGCAGGAAAAGCAGCCGAGCCGAACCACGGGTCACACGACACCTGCCACACCTATCACACATACCTCTCTGGTTCTTGACGCATCTATCCTTTGCCGAATGCAGCCCTCCCACGCGAGCATCTTCAGCGCCTGTGTACGCCGAAAGTCCAAACGCAGAACAATAACAGCAACAACAACAACGACACGTGAACCAAACCAACAGCCGAGTGAACGCAACCAGCAGTACGCTTGAGTCGGTATCAGGCCCACCGAGACATGGGACAACGCACAATACGCACCACGAAAGTCAACAGTTCAAAAATGCACAAATGCACACGCGTTGTTCCGGAGTTCGCAACCCGTGGGAACGTGAGTACCCCCAAGCAACGTCGGTATATGGCAACAACCGATACTCAAAGCATCTACGTGACCGTCGAGAGCATCGAGGTGCGACCCAGCATCCAAAATGACGCCGTACGAGAGCGCCCGCAACACAAGGGAGGCATTGGGCTGGATATCAACGTATCGGATGTGGTCGCCCCATGTAGAGCATGCAACGAATAGGCCAGAGGAAGAGAAAGCGAACCTACTAAGGTTTCGGTCTTAGGTGTCGTAGTACCGGCGGCCACAATGGACACAACGGTTACATCGTCGGCGCGAGGTTGCGTGCGTGTGCACCCGTTGCTTGTACTTGGCTCTCGAGGCGGCTTTCAACCCCGCCTACCTACCCACCCTTATCCCGTGCAGCATCTCAGAGCAGCGCTGAACGCGGTCGTCCTTGTGCTCCATCAGGTCCCGAGTCGCGGCGCCGATCCGCTTGGCCAGGAAAGCGTTTAGTGGCACCATGGCGGCGATGACGACTAGCCCCGCCGCAAAGGCGAAGGATACCTGCGATGCAAGCACAACAGCAATAACGCGTGCAGCACGAAAAACTAACTGTTACGAGAAGGCGCCATGAGAATGCAGCTGGAACTCGACCGGGCGTTCCTTTTTCGTCGGCGTGGCGCACGTGGCGGAAGTAGACTGCGGCGCGCTTTGGACGTGGTCACTTGCTTGCCCAGTCTCTTCGGGCCTGTGGGAAAGCTGAGGCGCAGCGGGAGATTCCCCGCTCTTCCAACACACGCCCAGGAGCCACACTTAAAAGCTAGCTAGACAAACCAGTGTAACGCAAAACCCCTCACTTACACGGGCGGTGAAAGCTAACAGCGAGGACCAACGAGGGGGACAGAAGCAAGTACAGGCATAAATCAGGGCCGGCCAGCACACGATGTAGAGTGTAGGAGCTAGCGCGGTTAGAAGAGGGAAGCACCTCTCTCTCCACTCGAGCTCACCTCTCGATGGAGAAGATAGAACGTGACCCCAACCTGGTGCGGCGGCGCAGGAGGGTGGAATGAGCGAAGGAGACAGAGGCAAAGCATTAAGGTACAGTTTCGGTCAGCCTCTGTATGATGGTACACAAAACACGTTTCGATCAGTTCACTGCGTTCCCCAAAGATACCAGCAACGAGGCGAGGACAAATGGGGAGGGGGGACCACGAAACGGTTAACCTCTCGAGCATCTGTTCATTCAACACGATCGCGAAGTGCGAGCAACATCGGTCCGTTTAGGTCTATCTCTCCGCCTCGCGTAAGTCTCGAAACTTGTCTCAACTACCTAGCTTTCATTTGGATATCGGCTACCGTGCTCTCCAAACACGTAACGTACAAATCGACAAAGTTGTAGAACACGCCGTGTGGTAGAAGCAGCAGCAGCAGAAGAAAAGTTTTTCAACCTGCAAGGGCAGACCCCACAACTCATGGAGAGACCCAGCGGTGTCCATGAGCCTCTGAGCGTCCACAGCGATAAGGTTGGCGGCGCTTCCGGCGGTTAGGCCCACCCCCGACGCATCGACGGATCGTACCTCGAGCACCTGCCTGTGGCGGCACCGCAACACCCACATACGTGCGAGCGGAAGCACACACACACACAGACACACAGACACACACACACACACACACACACACACAAGTCAGGATCACTTTTCGAGGTTCTGGTTTCTGCTATTTCGTTCGGGTGTTCATGTCAAGCGTCCAACCCACCAAAATTGTTTGCTCGCGGCTGGATGGCCAACGCAGTCCAACCGGGAAACCTCTTGCGCTAGGTGTGGACTCCTCCGTTGTGCGTATTCACGACTACGGGCAGCAGTAATCCGCCGCAGTACGTACCTGTAGACCGCCGATACGATCGATGCCCGCACGTGCAGCTGCAGCCGCCCCAGCCCCAGGCTGAACTGGGTATCCAGGATGGCGCTGAGCCCGAAGGCGCACGCCAGTCCCGCCGCTCCCAGATATCCCTTCCTCGCCGCAGCTGCACTGCTCGAACCTGCAAGAAGAGATGTTGTTGAGTTGCTGAGTTGTTGCTATTGTTATTGTCGCTACTGCCATTTACTCAGTGTGGTCGTTGTTGCGGTTGGTGCTGTTGTTGCCATTCTTGGTCCTCTTGGTGTGGCTGTGGCTGCTGTTGTTGCTGTTGCTGTTGCTGTTGCTGCTGCTGCTGCTGCTGCCGCTGCTGCTGCTGCTGTTCGAGCCATTTCGGCTGAAAGGAGAGTCGGGTTGTGACGGTGGAGGCACATGCTTCACACCGGGGGAGGGGGGCGGGTGTACGAGCGAAATGAAACACTAACTAC